CAAAAAAAACATGGTGCTCACTTCAACTTCTCCTACCCATACGCGTCTTCTTGCATAGTATTACCATATTTTTTATATATATTATATACTATTTAATATAATTTCTTATTTTATCCAATATAATTTAGATTTAAATACAAAATTAATATGTCAATCAAAATTACCTTTTTAGTACAAAATTAATCACATGTCAATTTTCAAAGACCTTTTGGATTTTCAATAATTAAATTAAAATCGTTAATAATATTTTTGTCTCAAATCTTAGTAAAGGCATTTTTGACCATATCAATGTTTAGTATTTATTTCGCTATCGGCCATCTTATTCTATATATAACAGAGTATTAATATTTTAGAATTTATTATACTATCGGTTTGGGATTTTTGGGGACATTTACCAATTTTAAAGTGATTTATATGAAATCATAATCTTTCTTTCCCTTGGGTTTTTCCATTATTCATTATGGTTCGGTATTTAAAAAACACAAAAATTCTTAGCGCAATTAACGGCGCCAAGTACTTTTTACATCAGACAAGGATTAACTACTTTCGGGTCCTTTTAACTGACATGCAATCAAAAACCGAATCTTAGTGCCCCAGCTCCTCACCAATCCCATTGGTTAAAATGAATGCAACGAAAGTATGATGATATTGGGCTATGCAGCTCTTTTTGTGTGATCATTATTATCAGTAGCATTTCTACAGTAATAGCACATTTCGAAAAATATATAAGAATTGTTGATAAAAACAATAAATTTATTAAATGATTCATTTCTTTATGAGATAACAATAATAATGACGGAAAGAAAGAATGTTTTAAGAAAATATTTCCTTTTCTTTCTTCCTACTAATAGAATTAATTTCAACACGGTCTTCAATTGAATTCAACAATTAGAATGACTGGGGGGTTATCGATTATAAAGTATAAGGGGTTATCTTTTAACTCATATGGTATTCTTTCACGAGGAGCAAGTCCCTGGGCTAATGAAAGCCGGGGGATCTATATTTATATACTATATTTTATAATAGATATATAGTTTAGTAAGGAATAACTACATAAATATTAGGGGAAAATTATTTAAATATCTTTTATATATTATATATGGAGAATCCAAAATGTCTGAATATATATATATTAGGGGAAATTATTTATATCTTATATATGGAGAATCCAAAATGTCTGAATTTACAATACCTTTAAGTAAGTGGGGCAAAGAAGCAAAAGTGAGAAAATTACAATTAACTGAGTACAATCTGCTGAAACGAGCTAAGAAATTAGCTGCTTGATTTCCCTCTCGATAGACATGACAGAAAGAGACATTGGTTCCCGAGACTAGATTCTTGATCTGTTTGGCCAAGCGAGGCTTACTTGATCTGTTTGGCCAAGCGAGGCTTACCTGCTGAATCGGAGGAGGTGATGAAGTCAATTGTAGATTTGGAGTCACTCTCTATATTAAGGGGAAAGGCGTTTAATTGCTGACTCCAACGGAGACTGAAATATAAGGATTGGAGCTCAGCATCTTCAGAATCACTTGCATGAATTGGGAAGCAATATGCAACGATGAGGCTACCTGAATGATCTCTGATTATGGCACCTCCCGCAGAAGAAGGAGTATAGGAAGCATCTACGTTGAGTTTGTAATAGCCAGGTTGTGGCTTGACCCAAGACACCAACATAATTTTCAATTTTTTGCCGAAGAATTCAGGCAGTAATCCTGAAATAAAGGGATGGATTTTGCAAAGTTTGATATATATATATATATATATAATAAATATATACTTATATATATAGCCCTTTTTCTTTTTCTCGGTCCTCATTTGGTCTATTTGTCATTATGAATCTTTTGTAATATACAAGCATAGCATAAGGGCTTCGTTCTAAAAGTTAGATTTAGTTTATTAATTATTTATTAATTAGGTATTTTATTTTGTTAAACTACAAGTCGTTGGGTCATGATTTTGTTCACTGCTGCGAGGTAAGTTAATGAGTTAAGTTGGTTTACCCTTCATGGAAAACCAAGCAAACAACCCCAAAATCCCAAACGACAAAATGCAAAAGACTGAACACTACAAAATCCCAAACGGAAATAAGAATAAATAATTACTTAATTAAAAAAAAAGCGAAATCTTGAAAAAAGAGAGGCAATTTCCGACCTAAAACCTATAGTAGATGAGCATTTGATTGGGGTACCTGATTGACTATTGTTATAGCTTTGAGGACTAATTTTGTAGCCTTATAGCTAGGGGCGGAGACGGTCGCGGGCCACCTCAACAAATTTTTTTAAAAAAAAAAAATTTCCTTGTGAAAATTACATTTTAAATATTTAAAAATATAAAAAAATTAATTTGGACTTCCTAAAAACTTTAAAAAATTTTGTTTCACTCTCCAAAATAATTGTTTTAGCTCCGCCCTTGTTGGTAATATTCCATTTCAGCTTGTCCAAATAAGTTCATTTCCAAGTCTAACAGAGCATGTTTTAGTCCTTTTCAAACCTTTTAAAGTTTTCTTAACAACAGAAATACTTAAAATTTCAATGCAGCACCAAAAATACTTAAAATTTCATGCCGCACCAAAATTATTGATTAACTATTTTCTACACCATATATTAGCACCATCAGAGAGGGCGCGACTAAGCAACTTGTTTGTTATTTGGTCTGTAAAAATTGCAGATAAAAATTGCAGAACTTAAACCCTGAAGTGAAAATTTCTGATGTAATAAATATCCTGAAAACCGAACAGCAGTATAAACCAAAAAGGTTATGATTTCTGATTCATTTGTCAAGTGTTATTTGTGGATGTTTCAAACTTTTCTCTTTGAGAATCTTAATCAAAACTAACTCAGTATTAAAAACATTTTGCTATTTCTCTATTCAAAATCAAAATGAATTAAAGGATATTAAATCGAACTGAATTGAAGCGATAAATCGAACTGAATTGAGCGTAAAAATTACGCTTTACTTTTATTTGAAAAAACTTAATAAATGCTTGCAAAAACTTAATAAATGTTGAGATCAATCTTCCTTAGAAAAATAGTTTTACTATTACTAATTTTGGTCAAACCGAATTAATTAGTTTACTTATAACAGTCCATGAATTTGAAATAAACGGGAATGAAAACCAGTGTGCAAGTCGACATTTCCTTACTGACTTTGTTGTAGTTGTCCAAAAGATGGTAAGATTTTCTAAGATTTGGGAAATGAAAATTTAATGCACATATTTTTATCTTAAAAAAGACAAAATATATTAGAATACTCAGAATTTTATAATTCTTTTTTCAATTTTATCCTAATTTCAACCTTTTATAACTTCAATTACAATTAAAAATGAAACTTAAAAAAAATTATTTCCATAATTTTTTTAATCATAATGTGACACATAAAATTTTTTAAAAAAAAATATTAAATATTCTATTGGTTTAAACAAATAATGCAACATTTTAATAAAATTTTGTTATTTACCAAAAAATCTCCAAGTATGGATATTAAAATTAACATTGATAAAATATAATTATAAAAATTAAATTAATAAAATATAATTTTATATTTTATATTTTTTGATTTGTCTATATTTTTAGCATGAAAAAAATCCTAATTCTTCTGGTAAGCTGGGTCCAGCAGGAGTTAGAGGCATGCTAAGATATGACAACCAAGTAGTTAAATGTATTTTTTATCACTCAGTTGGTATTTTGGATTCGAATAAGGCGGATTTCTTTTCGGCTATTGAGTTTTATTAGTATTTAAATGTTAAGAATTTTTCTTTGATTGTGGAGCCTGACTCTAAAAATGCTTTGTGCTGGATTATTCAGAAGATTATGTGGGCATGGAAATGGTGGGAGAAATTTAACAAGTTTGATAAGATTTTGTCTCAACTCAACCAGGTTCAGTTTGTTCTTGTTTCAAGAGATGACGATCATTTTGCGGATTTTTAACTAAGAAAGGTGTTTCTGCTTGAAGTCCATTCTTAGCTTAGATTTAACTTCATTGTTTTTTTTTTTTTTTTTTTTGGGATTCGTCGTCTTTGTTTTACTATCAGCAGTTCAGCGATTTCTAGTACTCTTGCTCTTGTCTTAAAGGATGTTTTTAATTGTGGTTCTTCTGCTCCGTTTTTGTTGGGATTTTACTTGGTCAATTTCGAATTAGGATAGTTCCGGGTGTGTCAGGGTAAGGCATGGTGGCTTGAGGAGTTATTACTTCCGTTTTGACTAAGTTTGTCCTATGTTATCTGTCCTTAATAAATTTTACAATATTCTAACTTTGCTGATAAAAAAAAAATAACTTGTGTAATTTTTTAGGATTAATTAAATATATTAAATAGGTCAAATCTCAATTCTTTAATTTAGGTAAAAAAAACATTAACATTTCTCAATTATTTTTAATTTATACATGTCTTAATATCATATTTCTACAGATATTAATAAACATGTCACCTCTAATTATAATTTGATATGTTCCAAAGAGCATGGTTTAAATTTTATTTTTATTTTATTTATTTTGTTTAAAAAAATATGAAATCCAAATTTGCAAACAAATTTTTGCACTGGTCGTACTAGGGTTACTCCATATTAGACTATTACAAAAGTATTTATACAAATTTTTGCAATAAAAGGCTTTTATTTTCCACCAATTATTGGCCATACTTCCTCAGCTAACTATAAGATCTGAACATTCTTTTTTAATCTTAATCCTTAATTTTCTAGTGATGCACAATTATGTTGTTGACGGACAGTTCACCGATAGACTGTATATTCTTTAATATTTCTACCTTGGCAGCAGCTGAGTTGTAACTCATTCCATTTACATATGACGATGTTCCATTAGGTTGGTCGGATGAAGACTCTTGCTTCAGGCTTATTCTTCTTGGTGAAAAAGCCAGCTGTCTTCGGGGTTTCTGGCAATAAAACTTCTTTACTGTCCTTGAATTAACAAACTACAGATGCCGATGCTTTGGTCTGTCTTCTGGCAGCGTGTTGAACACATATAAAGACCCACCTTGAATGCATTCCTTAACACTTCTCAGACATGGATAAAGATTCTAGCTTTCTTAGCTTTCTATCAACTAATTCCATTGACCTCTCTTCTATCCACAGTTTCCATGCCTGTAAAATCAAGAACAATAAAGATTAAAAATTTATTCCAATTAGTAATTGAGTGACTGTGCCAGCAAAAGTTCTTACATGTCCAAGAAGATTGTGGTTGTGTTCTTGGTGGAAAAACCCTCTATTTTTCTTTCCACTTACTATCTCCAGTATTAATACGCCAAAGCTGAAGACGTCTGATTTCATCGAGAAAAGCCCGTCCACTGCGTACTCCGGCGACATATAACCACTGCAAAATGAAACATAGTAATTGAACTATATTTTTTGCTATCTTAAATTTGAAATTCCTAACAGGGGAGAACTGAAAATGAATAATAAGTGCAGATGTGTACTTACTATGTTCCTGCCACTCTGAAATTCCTAACAGGGGAGAACTGAAAATGAATAATAAGTGCAGATGTGTACTTACTATGTTCCTGCCACTCTATTTGTATTAGCCTCTGTTTGGTCCCCACCAAATATTCTAGCCAAACCAAAGTCAGAAATCTTGGGATTCATGTCCTTATCCAATAACACATTGCTTGCTTTGAGATCTCTGTGTATAATCCTTAGTCTAGAGTCTTGATGAAGATAAACAAGCCCTCTGGCAACTCCCTCAATAATGTGAAAGCGCTTTTTCCAATCTAGAAAATTGCTTCTCATTTGATCTGATATATTTGTCATCTATTAGTAGAATGTTTTACTAGATTAACATAAAACAAGTTGTGAGATAGTAATTATAGACAAGAGAGAAGTTCAAACCGAAAATGAAAAAATCTAAGCTCTTGTTCGGCATGAATTCATATATCAACATTTTTTCATCTTTCTCAATGCAGCAGCCAAGAAGTTTAACAAGATTTCTGTGCTGAAGTTTTGCAATCAAAATAACTTCATTTTTGAACTCTGTTAACCCTTGTCCAGAACTCTTTGAAAGCCTTTTGACTGCTATTTCTTGCCCATTAGTCAATGTACCCTGAAAACCATTGTTACAGAAACTGAAGATCTTTGTAGTTGCAGAGATAATATGTTATGTACCATATTAATATTCAAAATTGTTACTTTACCTTGGGTAGGACAGGTCCAAAAACCACCTTTACCTTGTAGACAGGTCCAAAACCACCTTGCCCCAGTTTGTTGATACTGGAAAAATTATCTGTGGCTTTAGCTATTGTAGGCAAATCAAATATTGGCAATTCCATGTCTTCCTTTACCTCTCCATCTTCATAACATTCTATATAACTGCCTTTTACTTTTTCTCGCTTTCTCTGTTTCTTTTTCCTTATGCAACCTATAATCCCCACCACAAGCATTCCTATAAGTATAGCAGAGCTGACAATGATACCAATCAGCTCCTTTTTGTACTGATCTGAAATATAAAAAAGTATTCTCAGTGGGTATATTCATGAGATAATATGGCAATAACCTAACTAACTAATTCCTTTTCTTGAAACGGATAAATTTTTTGGCAGAAAAGAAAGATTTGGACCAATGAGCCCAGACTCGATTTTACTGTATTCAGGGCTGTGAGTTTCGAGTTTCAATCCTCGCCAGAGCCAAATTGAAAGAATTAGGGGAAAAAAAAGAGTTTTTTTTATACCTGCTGGTTTTGAAGAGGACATTCTTATATAGATATCTTGACCACCTTCAGTGTAATATCTCATATCAATCAGTTCGCCAAACCATAGCACGCAGCCACTGCCTTCTCCAATGATGTTTGAATTTGCATATGCAGTGCAAGAACAGTTTTTTGAACACTCTTCTTTACATTCTGCAAGTGTCATATTCATATCATACCAAGAATCTGATGTATCTGGTAACTTCAAACCTATATACTTATGAAAAACGGAACCCTTTTTGCAATCCAATGGAGTTTTTCGAACACAGTGATTGCTCCTATTTTTGGAAGATTCCAATATAAAGCCCTCTAAGCAATCACATGTATGAGAATTATCAATAATATTACATTTCATATTAGCACCACAAACTGAGTATGTATCACATTCATGTAATGGTTCAAAACATATATGTATCCAAGGATGATTTATTCTCACAAATTTCTCCAAGAAGCCCGATCGATTCATTAATAACCTGGACAATAGAGTACCTTCAACCTTATAACTATAATAGACTCCATTTTTATTCAATTCAAATTCATATGTGAGGAAATCAACATATGATGGCAACAGGGGAGTTCCTGTAAATCGAACGCCATTCCACGAACCAAGTCTGTAATGCTTAGAAGTTCCATTTCTCACAACAAGCTGAGGAAATCCAGCCGGATCTATCCAGAATGAAAATTGGCCGTGGCCAGGATTATCTTCACTCTTCCAAGATGTTAGGAACGTCTCTTGACCAGTTAAAAAATTCCTTCCTATTTTCATTCCAGGAAGTAATGTATCACATGGAGAATCAAAACTCTGCCACAGCAAATTAGTAATTCCACATGGAGAATCAAAACCTCTGCCACAGCAAAATTTAGTATCATTCCTATCTTGGGGACAACTAAATTTTCCCGAGTCTCAAAAGTGCACAACTGGATTCTTGGGACATTTGCTTGTTCTGTTAGATCGACCAAACTGTGTTGATTTCTTGCTATATTTTTGCTATTTAAGATGATTAGAAGGCTTTGGTTAGAGATAAGCAAAACTCCTGAGCGATCAATAAGTGGGGTTTCTCTGTTTGCTACCCAAATTACTGCATAAGCTGATGGATCTTTGTACCATATTCCTAAATAACGCTTTTTTGAATTTTCTGGTTCGAAAAATCCCAGCTCAAACTTTCCACCAGCTGAAACTAGAGTCTTACCGTCTTTGATGGATTTATTGAACAGAATGATAAGACTAAAAGTTAGTTATTTTTAAATATGTACACAGCTAGATTAGCTTTATCTCTTGTAAACCTCTTGTGCTTATCTGTTGTAACTGTAACATATGTATATATGATTATTGAGATGAATGGGAAATACACAAGTTAAACAGAAATAGTAATGTGGTTGAACAGCTTTGTACATATATTACTATTTGTGACATCTAAACATTAGGATAAGACTCTTCTAAAAGAAAAGAAAGAAAGAAAAAGAATAACAAAAAAAAAAAACATTAGGATAAGACTTGTTTACACCAGATATATGTAACGACCGTTTTGTATTAGTTTGATATATAGGATAAAACTTGCCTAACGGCCATTAATTAATTTTTTTTTCTTATTTTATTCTTATATCTACTAAATACAGTAACTATTTTAGTAACAAATTAATAGAGTGAAAATTAAAATCAGAATAACGAGGTGACATAAGGAGTAATTTAATTAAATTAAATGACATAAGGAGTAATTTAATTAAATTAAAGAGTATTTTGTTATAATTTATGAGATCTAATTGTTGCTTTAATCATTATAAAAAAACTTGAACAAGAAATAAAAATGGATGAAGAAAGTATATTATATTGAATCCACTGGGTTAAATTGCAATATACTTAAGATCAGTCATTTAGGGTTACCAGTGAGTAAATTTTGGTTAAAACTCAAAAATTGAATGCAGAAAATAAGCCTAACATCTGTCAAAAATAGCTAAAATTAAACCAAATCAATTAAATTAAATATTTTTAGTATTTTTTTTTTTTTTTGATTTGTTCAATTCAGCAATCGAATTTTTTTTTTTTTTTTGGTTTGGTTCAATTCAGAATCGAACCTGCCAATTGGACACCCAACTAGTGCAGCCCCCATCTGCGAATTGGCCAACCGAAGAGGACATTTTCCAAGATATTAATGACCCATGTTGTTTGCCAGTCCAATTAACCTACGCACCAACCGCGATAAATACACCCATCATCCATAATTTCTGCATTCAAACGAAACATTCAAACCTAATAAATCTTATTGCTCCTTTATTCCGAATAGAATAACAGTGAGCATTACCTAAAATATAAAGATTAATAAAGTAGTAAATTATACAGATTGAAAAGTGGCAATTATTATGACTAAAGGACAATTTTATTCATATAACTTTCCTATTATGCCTATCTCAAATAATACATGAGTAATATTATATTGGAATAGTAAATAATTATTAATGAGGGTTATTGAAAATAAGATAAAATTTAATAAGAATATAATAGATAATTTAAGAGTTAACTATAATGCAAAAAAGAAAAGTAAACTATATTTTGGAACAAACCAAAAAGGAAAGATGAATTATCTTTTTAACACGCACGAAAAACCAAGGTACTTGTCAAGATACCAAATTACCAAAGTAAGGGCAAATTACAAAGAAATCCCTTAGATTTAACTAAGATTATTACTTGGCTCTTATTGTTTGAAGAAATTATTGCTAGGTCCTTGAGATTTAGGTCTTCAATCAAAAAACTGCTATTTTGTCATTAAATACTACTAATATTTGACTATTTGGTGATTCATGTTTAATATATTTTTATTGTATAATTCCTTGTATTTGCTATTAAATAACTATTCAGTCCCTTATTTAATGTAAATACGATAAAAAAATTAAATAGTTTAATAGCACCAAATCTTAGAAACTTCTGCAATATTTTTTTTCCAAATAGTAGAGGTGAAATAGTAATTTTGATTAAACCTTAGGGACTTTATAATAATTTACTCCTAAATTTATATGGTTGTGGATTGATCATAATAAAAATTGAAAGCAAACAAATAATAATTTTAATATAAATAAAACGTAATAAATGAAAATCAAGCAATAAGCAACTTGAGAATTGCCAATAACTTTTCCAAATTAACAATAATCTACTGTTGAAAGAGATCAGGGATAGTATTGTCTTAAACCTAGTATATTATTATTGTCTTAAACCTAGGATATCATTATTATATTATTATGGCTAGTCTGATTAAACCTAGCTACTATTTATAATAATATTTCCAAATTTAAAATCTCTCATCCTAAAATCTCTCATCCCCTTTGTTGTAGAAGAAAGATTCATATAAGTTCGAATAGGAACATGAAAAATAATGCAAAAAGAGCATTTTCATACCATTTTGCATAAACACAGCCTTTCAATATCCCTAATATTTCACCATCTCTCACGAAGCAAATTGGTTTAAAATGTAAAATGTACTGTTACGAAAGTGCCATCAAACGGAAAAGTCAGGGCTTTAAATCATTTTGAGAAATTTTTTTATTTTATAAAATGTTTTTTTTATATTTTATGAATAATATTAGATTTTTAGTTATATAAAAATTAATAGAAAATTATGTATGTAAATTAATAGAAAATCATATATATAAATTAAATTGCATTTACATTTAACGGAGGAAATTCAATGAATACAAAAAACCATATAATGCAAGTTAAAAAAACTAAGTTTATTAAGTACGGATTTTAAGGTTTCCGTCAATTTTCTCAAACAAGAATGGGATAACGTCGTGTTGTATTTAGCCTTATCTTCAAACATTGCTTGATCCTATCATTATATTAAGAGTTTATTTGATAAAATTAGAGATTTTGGTAGCTCTTAGCTATTTTTAATAACTTTAGTTGTTAGCTGTTTAAGTTGTTTTTTATAAAATATCTTAACATCTACAAGTTAATTCAAACATTATGTTACCGACTATTATAAAAAATAGCATCGGAGACTTACTTCTTATTATTAATAATTTGAATTTACTATTCACTATCAATTTAGGGTTTAATCTTTATTAAAATAAAAGTTGAGGTTGAAAGCTTAAAGTTGAAAAATTAAAAACTTAAGGGCTTAATAGGTAAAATTTAATAAATTCAAGAAGCTTTTTTAAACGTTTTGTTTCTTTTAATACATATTTATTTTAAAAACTTTTACTTGTTGTAGTTAGGCGCGGCCACGGTTCCGGAACCGGAGGTTCCGATTCCACAAAAACTAGAACAGGAACCGAACTGAAAATTTTCGGATCCGGTTCCGGTTCCGGTACGGTGCGGTGTCAAAACTGATGGTTTCGATCGGTTTTCCGACCGGTTTTTCGGCAAATCGCATAATTTTAAATTTTAAATTTTGAAGACCGGTTTTCAAATTTTAATAAATTTGTGAAAGTTATTTGTAAAAAAAATTAAATTTTCAAATTTTTTGAACGACCGGTATTTCAAATTTTTAATAAATTTGTGAAAGGTTATTTGTTAAAAAAAAATTACACCTAAAAAAATTAAAAATTGCTTCAATTAAATTTATTTTTTTAAAGACTTTGAACTAAATTATTTTTTTTTAAAAAAAATTCTTCAACTGAAATTTATTTTTTGTTTAAAAAAGTACTTGAACATAATTTAAAAAAAAGGGCTTGAAACTTAATTTTTTTTTTTAAAAAAAAAAAATTACGGTTGCCTTACGTATCCTCTTGGGTTTTAGAGGAATTTTCAAAGCCCACGTAGGTTCTCCACTTACCTTTATACCAATTTCACCCATTTTTACCTTAGTCGGCTACTTTGCACCACCGGTTGATTGTTCCGTTTGATGAACCCATCGTATAAATCATATAAATCTTCATTTTCTTTATTTCTTGCTGCTCTTAGTTCGGTCCTTTTGCTCCAATCATCCACCTGATTGTGCTTCTAATTAATCGGGTATCATTACCAGATCGTGTCTTCATCACAGTAATGTTTTCCTCCCTTGGACTAAAGCTTGGTTTCAACCGCAACAGTGGAGACCAGAGCTTGCTAAAACTTGTTTAGCAATTAAAAAGAAAGTATTGGAAAAGTATTAGCGTGCACGCTTCCACCATCTAAATTGGAAAATTTAGTATCTGCATAATCATCACAAACTTTCAAAAGAAAGTGTGTTAGATAATTATCAAATTACAGAAAAAGAATGGATTCTTGGTTTTTTTTTGTTTTGTAATAAAGACCTGTTCAGTAACACCAACACACTTACCCTTTTGTGTTTGGAAATTTGGTTGAATATTAGATGAGAAGAATTAGAAGTAGATCTGAACTAGAAATTTGAACAGAATTCATTTAGTTATAATTGCATTAATATTTGGTTTTAACTTCATGCAATACTACATTATATTAAACATTATCTTACTATACAGATTTAATACTTCATAATAAATAAGTTCAAATATTTCACATAAAACATCAATTTTACAGTTTACGCATCAAATACCAAATTAGCAACAAAATAAAGGGTTGTATATATTTTAAAATTAAGATACCATTTTTTTCCATTTGAAAAAAATACCAATCTTTTTAACTTTACAATCATTTTTCAAATTCTTGGAGTGCACTAACAATATTAATACACATAGGTAAAAATAATGAAGATGTTGGGATAATTAAACCCCACTAATATTTATTAGGTAGCAATCGTTAAAAGAATTTTAAAATAATCCAAAATTTTTGCAAAAATATCCCAATTTTTGTGGAATATAAATTAACTATCTTCAATATTAATTAGTAAAAAAAAAGCATTAATAATCTTTATAAGAAAAAGACTCGTTTAGTAAAAAACTCGTTTAATAATTCATATGTTGAATTCCAACAAGTTGGGATATCCCTTGGAAAACATTTTGGTCTTTTTTTTTTTTCTTTACAAAATTTAGCTCAACTTTTCATCACTTAGAGATGTTCTCATAAATACGAAATGACTTTTCTGATTAGAGACATAAAATATTCAAGAACTTTTAAACCATCTTGTAAACATAAATTTAAAATATGGAATGCATATATAATATAAAAAAAATTTTCCACCAATATTTGGTTCACAATTTGATTTGAATTCAGTGATTGATTTAGTGTTGGCAGAAGCATTATCAAATGAAATTGAAAAAAATTTTTTGGTCAACGTATATTCATCTAAAATTGAAACAATCATTCTATAAATA